AATAAAACCAAACCTTGAAAAAAAAAAAAAAAAAAAAAAGTGTCTTGGTGGCTATTCTACAAAAAAATGCAGATTTTTCAGCTGTGGGTGCTCAAGCCTGACCAGCCAACTGGCAAAGGACCAGTCCCCAGTCAGTTCATTAATTCTTTACACAGTTTTAAAAAAGAAATAATAATAACAAGGAGAAAGAGTAAAGATTGTAGTATTCACTTCCCAAGTCATGACGGTTCGAGGTTCTTACACTATTATCCGAAGGTGAGAGGAGAAACAACAGGTATATTCCAGAACACTTCCCAGTATAACTTTGGGTCATTCTGGTCTATATTTTTCCTTTAAAACTACCAACAAAAAAAAAGACAGAGAGATATTTCCATGCACCGTGCTGTTCTTATGCCAGCACGTATCATCACAATCACAACTGTGAACCTAAGTCACTTTGATAGCCCAATCTAATATAGATTGATTGATTGTCCCACGACATAGTTAGTTAATGTCCACAAAATACCACAAGCTCTGGCAGAGTCCACCGTTCTTAAAGTACCGATAGGTCATGGCAAGACTTGGACTTGAGTTTGAAGGCCATGTTCTTGTTATTCTTGGCAACTATTTTGCCCCAAAACCGCCTGGCTTTCTTGGGGATGCTCTCTCTCCGTTTCTGGTACGCCAGCCGCTTCTCATTCTTTTCCTTGCTGTCCCTGCGGAGCCGGACTTGCCGCACGATGCCTTCAAACAGCTCTTTCACGTTGTGCTGCACGGCTGCCGAGGTCTCGATGAACTTGCAGTCAAACACGACGGCGCAGGCCCGTCCCTCTGCAAAATTGCAAGGTGGATATGTCACCAGGCGTCACGAGCAGGGGGGGGGTGAAGCAGCTGCAGGCTGCCATGCGCAGGGAGCCAGCGCTACCGGGGGAATTCCTCAAGTCTAATATAGGCACAGATAAGTCTTTAATCACCTAATGCTGCCTGTTAGCCCATGATTCATCTGCTCTGCATCACACTCCCCGCCCAGCAAGGAGAGGGGAGAAGGGGGTGCGAATCCCCTTGTGGAAAAACCCAGTCCTCACCATCAGCTGCAAAGGGAGCTGGAGCTGACCGACTTGTGCCGAGGCATGACTTAAAGCCACCTGGTCATCTTACATGCAGACTCCCTTGAGCTGCATTAAAGGGTGATGACAGCACCTTCCATGCGCACAGCACAGCTCTTGTCCTCATAGGAGGCAGAGCCCAGCCTCCTCTGTGGGTTGTGGGTGTAAACCAGGGCCTTGGAACAGTAGCAACTTCGGTGTGAACAGACACAGATACAAAGCCCTTAAAGGCAAAATCATGCTTATGGTTTTAGAGGTACATCTGAAATCATAGTTCTTACCCTTAATTACGTGAACCTAAGCTAAACTTGACAGCTGTCTTTCACACACAAGCCAATTTATTGCCTTCTGGCTTGCCGCAAACTCATCACCAGGATGACTAAAAAGATGCGAATGCATCTGCCATCTTTCAAAAGATTTTTCAAGTGGGGCAGAGAGGAATAAGAAGGCACATAAACATCCCTGGGCTCCTGATGTACTCCTCAGTTCAAACCCTTCACTTGGGGCAGCTGTGACAGGGGCCAGGGGAACTGTTCACATCCGTCCACATTTGTGGGGAAAAAAATAGTCTAGATCCATGGGGAGACAGAAGAGAAGAACAGCTGCTGAGAGAAGAAAATGCCGAGCAGAGGAACCCATGTTTCTGATGGGCCAAGATATAATCACCCAGTGCACTGCTGTGTGTTATGTTCTGCCCCTAAGCCTCAGGGAAGACTCTCCAAGAAGAGATTTTACTGACTGCAGACTTTGAGAGCCAGCAGCAGCTTCCCCAGCAGTCTCTCTATTCCTGGATGATTCCAGAATTATGTCCTGTGCAACCTGCTCTATGTGAGCCTGCTTTAGCAGGGCAGTTGGACTGGCTGATCTCCGGAGGTCCCTTCCAACCCCAACCATTCTGTGATTCTGTGATTTATGGGCTTGGGGTTCCCTTGGCTTTGGGTACAGGTTCTTTTGTATGCAGCAGAGGGAGGGCTGGTTTAGCACCCCAAAGCAAGGCAGCAAGGAGACCTCTCCTGAAAGGCTGCACAGTCCCTGCCCAGGCTAACAAAATGAAGGGTGAGAGGCAATTTTAATTCATCAGGGAACTGGTTAAAGAGGTAATCTTTGGCAGCAGAATAAAGAGGGCTAAACTCTTTATGCATAAACATGTTTTGGAAATCCAGAGGGTTTCCAGCTACCAGAGGAATCACATACTGCAGTGGTCTTACACTAGGGGCTGGAAGGGAAGAAATTCAAGCTGCTTTTATGATGGTACTTAATAAATATATGAACGGCATTACCTGACATGTAATTTCATTAGCAAGGCAGGTTTAAGGACCTGGCAGGCCCCTTCCAATCCTCTGCTGTTTTATTTCTCTTTTATTGCCCTGTCTTGGTCACAGCGCAGTCCCTCAGCCTGAGCTCTGCATTTCGTTCAAAAGCTACTAGATGACTCCTAACATTTTGGTTGGTTTTATCCTCATCGCTTTCCTCACCTGCCACTGAAACTTCACGGCATCTGACAAGGTCACTTTTGTTGCCAACCAAAATAATGGGGATGTCTTCTTTCTGGCGTGCCCTGCGGAGCTGTATTCTGAGTTCAGAGGCCTTCTCAAAGCTCGCCCGGTCGGTGATGGAGTAGACAATCAAGTATGCGTCTCCCACTTGCATGCAGTGGTCCTGAATCCATTCTCCCTCACGCTGTTCAAATGAAACAGTCAGACACTGTTATGGCCAGAACAGATTTTACTTAGAAAGTATAGCA